ACTGGGCCGAGTGTAAAAGGCTGTGACACCGAGGGTAGAGCAAGGTGAGGGCGAGGTCAGAGTCACCGAGGGCCGGGGAGGAGGACCAGGAGGACGGGCCCTCTTCCCGAGACTGAAGACATGCTCCGAGTGAGTGGAAGTCATGCCACATACTTTAATGTCGATGTGAAAATGTGTATACAAATAAATAGATTAGTAATTTAGACATTTGAAAAAATCACACAGTATTTCCTGGAGTGGATATTTGTAGGACTACTTCTTAAAGCATAGACTAGTTAATATCCCAATGTTTGATTGTGTGTGTAAATTATTACTAACAGGTATTATTGTTTCTACATATCCCAGAGAATCCATGTTCTTAAATGTGATGGTTACTCTGCTTTAAACTGACTTAAAAATGTCTGCATGTGGAGAGCCAAATATTGTGCCTTGTCTCTGTAAAAATTGATTAAAAGTATTTAAATTAAACTAGAATATTTTATTTTGTATCTATGGTCTTATCAATCTAAAATACCTTTATGTTATCAGAAAAGATTCGTATTCAGAATAAAGCTATGGACTGACAGGATATAAAGTCCATAAAAGCACTTTAATACACACGTAAAAACATAAAACAGACACAAAAGCACAGATAAAATCATATTGCAATATTCAATTGATAACATTTAATATAGCAGCACTGACTGGACCCCATGTCTGATTCACCCTCATGTAAATGATCTCTACTGGGAACATTAAATATATTTTAACCTGCATTATCTTATCTTATGTAATGGCCATTGTCGTGTTTGGTTCAACTTGTTTGCAACCTTTTATGAAACCTGAAATATAACTTACTCAAACATTTACTTAAAAAAAAACCTCATCAGTGGTGAGAGATATTGGAAATAAACTCAAAGACAGCAACTGAGGAGGGATCCCTGTCCAAGCACTGACATGAGTCCAATATATGTCATTATACAGAATGAACAACATAATAAAATGACAACATAAACAAAAAATGGCGATTTTAATGATTCAAATCATTATTTTATATCCACTAAACTGGATTACTGCAATGCGCTGTACATTGGAGTAAGCCAGGCTTCCCTGTCTCGCCTACAGCTGGTCCAGAATGCTGCTGCACGCCTCCTTACAAGGACAGGCATGGCGTGAACATATTGCGCCTGTACTCGCCTCGTTACATTGGCTACCAGTCAATTTTAGAATACAATTTAAAATGTTACTGTTTGCATACAAAGCCCTAAACGGTTTAGCCCCACCGTACCTGGCAGATCTTTTAAAACACCCACACGGTCACTGAGGTCTCCTTCTGGTCGTCCCTACATCAAGGTTGAAGCAGTGAGGAGACAGAGCCTTTGCTGTTGCAGCTCCAAAGTTATGGAACGAATTGCCCCTCCAAGTTAGACTTGCTCCAACTCTGCCTGTTTTTAAATCTCGTTTAAAAACCCACTTCTTTTCCCTTGCATTTACAGACCAGGTATGACACTTGTGCTTTTAAATGTGGGTTTGTATCTTACTAGTGTTTTGTATTGTTTTTACGTCATGTAGGAGAGTTTCTCAGTCTGTGGCTTCTGATCTGGTTTCAGAGTCTCGTGTTTTACATTTGTTTCATGTCCTGTCTGTTTTTTATGTATTTATGCTATGTTTTTATACAGTTGTTGATGTACAGCACTTTGTTCAACTTATGAATTGAGTTTAATCAGGAAATAATTGGAAACCATCTCAGAACTGTATCATTCAACCATTTGGACAGGCTAAATGAGACATACAAAGTAAAAACAAGTGGATAAATGCAGTTATTTCCTGCCATTAAAGGAGAACCCCAGGGCTCAGGTTTAGGCCCCATGTTTTTCAGCATCTCGAGCAACTTCCTTTTTAAATATTCTGTATCGTTCTTTTCCTTTTGTGGGCTCTTTGTGGATTTTCCTCCTTACTTTGTGATTTGTAAAATGCTCTATCTTCTACTTAAATGTGTGGGTCCTTGCATTTATTGCAATATTTCAATATATTCATGTATCATGTTTCAATAAATCCACGCTTAAAGACAATATATAAAAAATGTGTGACACAATATCTCTCAAAGAGGAACTGTTATTTGTTTTGTAATGCCTTGGGTGACATTTTCTCAACATGGGATAGTGTGTAATCCTCTACTTTGTGCAAAAACATTAACATTTTACATTTTACGACACAATTTCCCATAGTTTAAAATGCATTTTCCATTTAGAAAAGAGTCAAACCTTCATGTGACACTTAGAGGTTAGTGTGACTGGGAATTAACCGCCTCTACGTTAAACAATATAAAATGTATTTTTATTTAATTGCATAGCTTCATAATGTCTTATTTTAAAGCTTGTTTGTTGCAGTTTGAGGTCATTAACAGGATGTTACTTTAATACGGAAGTGATCAAATAACATTTTGATCACTTCTGCTATAAAAAAATTACACCAGAAGGGACATTAGATAGTCTAACACTTCAGTTGAGTGCTTAAATTGTAAACACAACAACGCTATCAAAAAGCAGGTTAATAGCCATGTGATTGCTGCCCTAGGTTACGTCCAACTATACAATAAAAGAAGTAAAATCTTATTTGTATTCTCTTTTCTTTCCACTTTGGGGTCTCGACCCAGACTTTGAACACCGGAAACACTCAGTGAGTCCAAGGCTGGAAATGAACCTTGAACCGCAAAACAAGCACAACACTACACACACACACACACACACACACACACACACACACACACACACACACACACACACACGCAACACAACCACCATTTCCTCAAATAAATGACTTTTATTGGGGCAATACAGACGGTCTGCTGTCCCTCTCATTCTTTCTCTTGTCTCACACACTAACTCAGTGTGTGTGTGTGTGTGTGTGTGTGTGTGTGTGTGTGTGTGTGTGTGTGTGTGTGTGTGTGTGGTGTGTGTGTGTGTGTGTGTGTGTGTGTGTGTGTGTGTGTGTGTGTGTGTGGTGAAATGAGATGAAAGGAGGGATTGTGTTTCTGTTTGGAACTAAAAGGCATTCAACCTAATGACCCACAATAAAATGGACCTTAAGAGCCTCTCTCTCTTTTTTTTAACAACACAGACACATTTAAACATATATATTTAAGTTTTTCATATTATTGCTGAGATATGTTTTTTTTTTAATTTTCTAAATAAAATAAATGTTGTGTATAAACTTGGTTGTATAGTTTGTTTTTTATATTTCATGTTCAATATTATTCATTTATATTTAATAATTGTATTATACATTTTTATTTTACATTTGTATTCATGTGGTTTTATTGGTCTATTATAACTGTTTGATGTTGTTTATTTTATATTGTGTACTCCAAATACTTATTCATGTATGTTTTACTCATATGAATATACTGTATTTAATGTTAATTTTTTATTTATTTGTAATTTTATTTCACGTCTGTTAACATGCTGCTGTTACAAAACATTTTTTATTTATTTAAGGACATTATTTAACATACAAACTACCATCAATACATGTGCCAAATATAGACAGACACGTTATTAATATTATTTGCAGTCCTTGGCATGTTGATAGCATTCATAACCAAAAATAAACAACATAATAAATTCAATAAAGTTTTGTTTTGACTCATCCGGACAGCAGGTGGCGCCCCACGTGCAGACAGCGATCAAGGTCTATGTTAGATCGTGAATCTAAGCCCCGCCCCCATTATCTGCTGCAGCCAATAGGATCTCACTGTCACACTCAAACATGGGCACAGTAACGGTGAATGGGCAAAGTCATTAAACTCATCTGGCACAAGGCCAAATATGGATTTTTAGTGCATAGTTTTCAGTATTTCAGACTTTCTAAATATGTATGATATTAAAGTTATATGTATATATTGTTCTGATGTCTATTCTATTTTTTGTTTATTTCTATTTTACGCATATCGCATTGTTGGAGGGACCTGCAAAAGAAGTATTGCAAAGATTAGCTGTAGCTGTTTGCAATTGACAAATTAAGATTTTGAATCCATTGAATCACAAGGTGCAAAACATGCATTTTCTCAGGTATTCTAATTGGGTTATTTAACTTAAGTCACACATAGTTTTTAGTCAAAATTAAAACTCACAAAAGTTGGAGATTAATGGGTTTCACGGGACAAAAAAGGGTGTCAACCAAATTACATCCAAAAGAAATAAAATGCTTTCTTTTTTACATGCATTTTACAACAGTAGGCAAATAGTCAATTCATAATTAAGAAGGTATACGTTATTGAGTACGCAAGGAAACAAATAACAGCTTTTAGATGTAAAACCAGTGCACTGACACAAATGCAAATAAAGAAGATACTGTTATTGTCGGTTAGTAAATGCAAAAAGAAACTCACGTGAAATCGCCATCCATGAACTTCGAGAGAGTTTTCCCTCAATTCTGTCAAGAAAGACACAAACATGCGTATAAAGTCAGATCAAGACCAAAGAAATCAAAGGAAGTCCATCCCTCTTCTGTGAATCTAAATCCCGTTACACTTTAAAACGACATTTAGGAGTTTTATCATCAATTATAAAAACACAAAGCCTTCATTAACAAAGTGGTTTGGCACAAGAAGCTATAGAGACTAGGCCCATGTTATACTGAACACACACAAAGACACACACACACACACACACTCGCTCGTAAACGACTCCCTGTTACTTTTTTATTCTGCTTGTAAAACGGTGTTTCAGGAACAGAGTTTTATAAAGCCATAGTGCTACAGTCAGGCCATCTGGCAGCATGCTGGAGGCTACGATCACATTTCTGAGCACAAAAGAAAGATGAGATTTATTTCCTATACTGGGTAAATACAGTCCAACCATGTGATCAGTAGAATAACCAATAAGCAGCCGAGGAGAAGGTAAGGGCAGGAAAAAAAAAATACTACCATTTTAGGGGAGGATGTAAGCCCACTATACCAGCCCCATCTAACGTTTTACAGTCGCACTTAAGTGTCTTTTTATTGAAATAATAAAATAAACATGTCGCTAACGAATTATTATTCCATGATGGGGCTCCAGACTGAGGAGCCGTACGGTGCGCATTTCATCCCGGGAGGCTTGCAGGGTTCTTCGGCCGGCTGCGGAAAGCCAGCCCGGAGAGGAGCGGAGGAGGAGGAGGAGGAGGGGACCCCCATCCCGGATTTTTCACATTTTTCCAACAAACAGACGGGCTTAAATGGCTTTTCTCCCTGGGCCAACACCTCCACTTCCTCTGCGCCTTCTTCCCCGCAGCTGCAGCCCAATCCGGGCCTTTTTCATCCACATCCACACCTCCTGAGCCACCACCATCACCACCACCACCACCCGTGGACGCAGCAGAATCACGCCGAGCACCTCGCATCATCGGCGGCTTCAGAGAGCAGGTTCGTCCGCTGTTGGGAGGGTTCGACCCCGGCTTTGGAGACCCCTTTGTCCCATGCATCTGATGGGTTTTCCGGGTGTGTCCCCGCTCAGGGTGACCTCTCCGATCCAACACCGACGTATGCGGCGGTTAAACCGGAGAGTTCACTTCCGTCCGACAGCCCCGAGGAATCCAGCTTCAACAGCCCGGCTGAGGTGGTCCTAGAGCGGCTTGGCACCGTGGAGGAGCTCGGTAAGAAGACGGAGCCCAAGAAAGAGAACGAGGAGAAGAAAAAAAATCCTATGATAGACCCGGGTAAATATACCAAACTCAGGAATGTTTATTATAGCGTTTTAGAGGTGTCAATACACAGGTGTGAGTGTGTGTGTGTGTGTGTGTGTGTGTGTGTGTGTGTGTGTGTGTGTGTGTGTGTGTGTGTGTGTCTGAGTGTGTGACACAGAGGGAGAATGTGGCCTAAGTAAGCTAGTAAGTGTGTGTGACTTTTATAGGCCTATAAATGTCTTGTAAACTGGGAAATGTTAAACTTTATTGTCCATTAAAATAATTAAGGTGCTATAGCTGTTATTTAACAATTTGTCACTGCGTTTTCTGAGCCGATGTGTGCAGAAAATGTACGTAAATAAGTTATTTATCTTGCATTACAGGAAGGCTTAAAGCGTATTTAAACAAAACAGTCTCTGTAGAAACGACCTTAGCAATTTAGTGTATCATAATGTAGCATGCCTCAAAGAGCATTAAATCACCTTTAAAATAATATTTTAAAAAGCTTGAATTACAATAAACAAACAGGACAGACAGGTCTTACAGTATATATTATAATAATTAAACAAATGCCATAAATAGTAATAATAATACAAATATATTATACTGGCTTTGCTATTATTTTCAATTATTTTTCCCACCCTGGCATTACATAGAACATTTAAGCTATATGTTAAAAGTGTTTCTAAATTCAATTGTATTTAGTAAAGAGGCCATTAAATCCTATACACATTTCTGTTAGATTTCCATTATTTTAAATAGCCACAATTCTACTTATTCTTAAACATAGGCCTACACCTGTGCCAGCCTGAAGGCAGTTCCTTAAAAATAAATGATATGAGAAGCAAAGATGTCCTTTCTGCAGAATGAGTGTGTGTAACAACCCAACGCTGCTGTCCTGTCTGTTGAGTTATCACACTAACACACTCTTTTTGGCTGCTTCACTTTGTTTCTTTTTATTTTAAAGTGGCCGATAAAGCATTTCAGATCAGGCACTTTCAGATCCTCCAGACTGCAGTTTAATAATTCTAAAATTGAGTCTGGCTTTTCACCAACACACCGCCTGCACTCACACACAGATTTAGACTTGACTCGGTATGTATTATAGCTTGGTGTCCTCCCAAAAACATGTCTCTATCTAAAGGTCTACCTATCTGCAACGTTATTTTTACATAATGTCACTTTATGGTAAATTATTGAAATGAAGGAAAGGGTGAAATGAGGACATAAACAACCGTGGTGCTCATACAACTGTTTTGCTAATAGGAGCAATATGGAAAAATAAATAAAGGATGTGATGGATTAACACCGTCTTTATTTATGGAGCTGGGCTTCTTTTAATTTGTAATGAGCCAAAAGTTGCAAGCTCATAAAATGTGTTCCTGATAATGTTTTCACACACACAGACACACACACAGACACACACACACACACACACAGACACACACACACACACACACACACACACACCACACAGACACACACACAGACACGACACACCCCCACACAACACACACACACACACACACACACACACACACACACACACACACACAGACACACACAACACACACCAGACACACACAGACAGACAGAACACACACAAACACACACACACACACACACATACCAAGACCAACAACCACACACACACACCCACACACACACCCACACACACACACACACACACACACACACACACACCGAGACCAACACACACATGCAATTTGAGCATTTTGGACTTGACAACAGAATTAACGTCACTGTTTTTTAAAGCAAAACATTTCATGGTAAAGTGGCATTGCATGTGAGTGTGTGTGTGTGTGTATGTGTGTGTGTGTGTGTGTGTGTGTGTGTGTGTGTGTGTGTGTGTGTGTGTGTTTGTGGTCATTGTTGTTGCTGCCGCTGTGTATATATGTTGTGTAATGCAAATCATGATGTCCCTCTATAAACTCACAAACTGAAACACACACCGACACACACACACATCTACATTGACACACAGTCAATGACACACACACACACACACACACACACACACACACACACACACACACACACACACACACACACACACACACACACACTCACACAAAGTTAATGGGGTGCTAAAACTACACTGCAGATGGAAATGAGCTATTAGCTATAATCTGGCATAATTAATCCCTTCTCTTTTCTGAGATTAATGTATGGTCCTTGTTGAAATAAATACATTTCGTTTTTTTAAACACATGTTCTGTTGCCGACTGAAAACCAGCTTGCCTCCACAGCATTTTGGCCATTATACCTTTTTTTTAAAGTAGTACTTAAAGGGTTTTAGCTGATTTGAAACTAATGCTGCAGCACCTGCATGGTTTGGCTCATCTAAAGTGAATGTCTGCATGTTTCTTGCTGTTCTGAGTCTGTATCCTCATGCTTTATTGCACTAATTATAACTCTCCCCCCCCCCATTTATCTTCTTCTTCTCCTGCAGATAATCCTGCCGCAAGCTGGATCTACGCCAAGTCCACCCGGAAGAAGAGGTGTCCGTACAGCAAGTACCAGACCCTGGAGCTGGAGAAGGAGTTCCTGTACAACATGTACCTGACCCGGGACCGGCGGCTGGAGGTGGCCGCGCTGCTGAACCTGACCGAGAGACAGGTGAAGATCTGGTTCCAGAACAGGAGGATGAAGATGAAGAAGCTGATGATCCGGGAGAGGAGGGGTCCTAATGAGTGACGGGATGCACAGTTTTTGAGATGTTTTTTGTCCAGGATAGATGATGATGAAAAGAGACGCAGTGCTCCAAGATGACGATCTGTAGCAGGAGCTAGAAAACTAACATGGCCGAGGTGGAAAAGACTGCAGGGGGGAGACCAGGATGTGTTGTAACACTTTTGTTTAAAAAAATATTGCTTTTGCAACGTCGTTTGGTCTTTTCTTGTTGGAATTTAAGAACTTGAACTCTTCCATCTGCATGTGACAGCTAACCTTTAACCCGGGGTACTTGTAAATAACGCTAACATTTACAAAAACATCCATAAATCTGAACTTAAAAACAACATATTAGATGATATCAATGACTTCGCTCTTTTGGAGAACACATCTGTTTTTGATAAAGCTGTATATCTCACATTTCCAGAACTGAAACTACTTGACGCATACTTGACTTCACATAAATTGTCTGTGCTTTCTGCCAAAAATGCAAATTGCATTTTTTATGATTTAATGCTTAAACTATTGTCCTCATATAAAACTGCTTTCATTGTGCCAGACGGGACTGCACCGCGTCTGTTAAAGACAGAAATAGAGTGTATATTTGGTATTAGGGGGGGCATACTTTTGGGAAAGAAACCCTTAACAAATAGAAGCCTAACACTTAATACTAATATGTAATAATAGATACTTAATTATAATAATATTAGCCAAAAAAAATACAGAGGGTGAGATATAATCAGAGTATAAGAGGTCTGTTTATGTGGTTAATAATGCAAACAAAACTATGAGAATTAATGCATTTTATTGATCCATTTGTTGGCTTTAGTTTTACATTTTTCTTGGTTTTAAATACTATATTTACTTTGCATGATCCAGTTTGATTTAACACTCAAAGCACACATGCACTGTGTCCAGACGTACTGTTGTTATTCAGTCTCATTGCTGATAGAGATATAATCCTTACAAAATTGTGAATTTTTACATATCAATTAACAAAAAACAACATGTACCTATATGTTAATGTGAAATCATTTAATGTGAAATCAACAAATCAAATGTGTGTCAGAAGAAAAGTGAAAAAACTAAAGTAGAGTGGTGAAAAGTGAATGTTCTTTTTTGAGGTACACGCAGTGTTGGAAGAAGTACTCAGATCCTTTACTTAAGTACAAGAACAAATACTACACCGCTGCTTAAGTAGAAAAAATAAAAACAACTACAACAAATAAATGATTGCAGATTTAAATGTCCTTTCTAGATATCTGAGTTTGCACTCCTGATGCTCGATTGGTTTTAGATCCTATAACCTAATGCATTGAAATGACCCCTTAACACCTTTGAGGGCATTAACCTGCTAAATATTAGGACATTTTAGTGTAAATCATGATGAGGTTCGTTGCAAAAGATCTGCTTTTTTCTATCCAAAACGTTAAAGATGTTATTGCATACAGCTCGCACAGGCTGTTTGCAATCTTTGGTTGTACTTTCATACGCGAGAAAAGTCATAAATACACTATCATTTGCATAAAATCCACAAAATCTATTGTTTGTAACCCGTGGAGATAATGGAGTTACGTGAAACCAAAAGCCAATGTTGACTTATTTTAACAAAGATATGTAACTTTAACTCAAACCTCAATCCTTTTCTTAAACAACTTTCCTGCAAAAGTGCAATGAGGCTGTGTGTTGCTGGATATTTAAAGGAAAATGCATGAAAAACATCTAAATAACTTTCCATACGCTACCGTTTTATCATACTTTTTATACTTGAAAACAAAAGTATATAGTTTGCAGCATTTTAATTATACAAAACAAACAGGCTAACTATGTAATGGGCTACATATGATTTAAAAAAAGACTTCAATGCTTATGTAATACACATTTCAGGTGTGTCCAATGGGGTTTTTAATGATCATTTCTCTGTGTTACAACCGTCCCCCGTCTCCCCTGATTTTAACATTTTGTTCCTTAAAAAAAGTTTAAGACTTTTTTCTTCTTTTATAAACTGTGCATGTATAGAAATATTTGTTGTTATTGTTGTCGTAGCTGTATTGTATATCTGTTGTTAATGTGAATCCAAGGCCGATCATGCTCCCTCTCTCAGACACACACACACACACACACACACACACACACCCTTGTGAAGAAAGAAAATAATTTGTTGCAGCTGCATTGAAAAGAAAGCCGCAGTTCCAAATACACACATTTACAGAAACACACTTTTAACACACACACACACACACACACACACACACCATTCCTGCAGACAGAGGAAAATGTCTTGCAGCTACATTTTAAAGAAAGCTGCATTTCCAAAAACACACACACACACTCACAAAGACACACACAGACAGAGACAAATACACACACACACACTCACAAAGACACACACAGACAGACACGTACACACATACACACACACACACACACACACACACACACACACACACACACTCACAAAGACACACACAGAGAGAGACACATACAGACAGACAGACAGACAGACACAGACACACACACACACACACACACACACACCAGTCATGCTAAGCTACACGGTGTGACAGCATCTGATGGTTATCTCCTTTATGTTTCATTGTTATCTGTGAGAGTAAACAGCTGATGTTAAATCCAGAATAACGCACAGCCATGTTACTGTTCCTAACAGTAGTGTGTGTGACAACAGTAGTTTATTATTATTATTATTATTATTATTATTATTATTAGAGTAGGGGTCTTAAAATGATTATCAGTGTGTCAGTGTTATCCAAACTCTCTCCGGAGAAGCTCGGGCTATGTTAGCCTCCATCATGTCATGTGACCACGTGAGGACTTCATCTGCTCTCAGTTAGCCGCAGTGCAGCGTGGGAGATTTTATAATAAGTGAAATAAAAGATGGATGACGTCATCATTGTTATTAACGCGGTTTCCGTGTTGTTGTTATTATTATTGTTTTTTATATTATTACTGTGTTCAGTTTGAAAGAGTGGTTGTTGGTGCCACATCGGTTACAGGCTGACCATGATGACGGACATAATACTGAAATATAGATATTATTATATACTTTTTTCGTATCCAATCCCTTGTTGAGATTATCTGTATGTTATATTGTTATTTCTTATTTAAGCAAAAGAGAAACAGGCACAGATAAAACACTACAAAACTACTACTACAACTACTACTGCTAAAAATAATAATATAGCCTAATTCATATTGTCCCTATCAAATCGCTTGTTTGCATTATTCAATAATAGATGTTTTTTACGTGTAATTTTCGTAATAAACTACTAGAATAAAAACATATAATAATAATATAGCTTAATTAATATTTGCATTATTGAATTACAGCTGTAGTTGTATATTAGTAATTTTCGTAAAAAATACACATAAAATACAACTACTACAACTAGAATACTAATAATGTTTGCACACGTTTGGTAATATTGTTATATGTTGCCTAATGGATTTGAAGATATGTTTGTATCGGTTAATATTAATTAGACGTCATATTTTAATGTAGGAAGTAGAGAAACACACGAAAAGCTTCTACTACTTTCCTGTAATATTAGCCTACTGCATGACATGTCAAATATGTACACACCAAATACTACTACTGGCTGGATTAGAATAGCTCTAATGGAGTTGTAATGTTAATATTTGTGCAGAAAACGGAGAAATGTACTTCCGGAGTACTGCACTAAAACTAGGCCTACTTCAATATAATTAGTCTTCTTCTGGCAGTATTATCCTCTATCATGAAGCACTATCTCTGACATTAGATCAGATTATAGCCCAATAACAGGATTTATTTTATAGTTTTGTATTATGATAGTATGCCAACGTCAAGGTGTTTCTTCTCTCTGCTGCATGCAGTCTGAGTTTGAGTCCGCAGAGACACTTTTCTGCCTCCTTGTTTTGTCAAAGTCTCGCAGCTTCCCTCCTTTATTGCCGCCATATAATCCTGCTGCAGGGTCATAAAGCAACAGCATGCATTTGGAGAATAAACGTGACTTTCCCCCCCAAACCGAAGAGTGAGGAGCCGCCATAAAGCAATTTAGCCCAGACAGTCTTATATGGTTTTATTGGACACCCTTTCCTGCCTCGGAGCCTCATCTGCAGCTCGAAATGTTAAAGTCATTGTCTGCAGAGTACACATCTCTGCTCACCACAAGACCCCAGAACACATGACCATTTCACTATGCAGGGGATTAAACCGGAAACAAGGGCGTTAATGACTGCAGGGCGTTTCAGTCTGGATTTTTGGGTTGTTTTGATGATGTTTTACGCAATGCTTCACTTTTTAAAAACGGATTAATGCTTTAATTTGATCTATATGATGTAGCTTAAATTCAAAATAGACATGCATGATGCAGCTGTAACGCCTCATAGGATTTGGTTTTACTATATATATTTTAATTTCTGTTTTCTTGCTAAAACTACGAAGTGTTTCAGTCTGAGTTTGGGTTGTTTTGGTGATATTTTACCCAATCATTTACGGTTTAAATCCAGATTATTTGTATGGCTTTATTTAAAATACCATGTAGCTTCAATGCTGCATTCGACAAAAGGCCTACAGCTGTAATGCATGATACAATTGGCTTTCATTAAGGACACACTTTTAATTATATTTCTGATTTCTTGCAATGAATGCGATGAAAATATCATGCTTGTCTCATTTTCTAAATTATCTCAAACATCTCTGCACACCACAAGACTTCAAAACACACACATTTAACTATAGGGAGTTAAAACGGAAACAAAGGCGTAAATGACTGCGAGGCGTTTCAGTCTGGATTTGGGTGGTTTTGGGGATGTTTCACGCAATCCGGATTATTGCTAAAGTCTTATCTACATTTTACACTTTAATGTCCAGCATTAAAAGCTGTAGTGCATCGTACAATTTGCTATAATATGTATTTCTGTTTTCTTGCAATGACTGCGAAGTGTCTCAGTCTGGATTTTGGGTTGATGTTGGAGATGTTTTGCGTAATTATTTACTGTTCTAAAATCCGGACTATTACTTTAACGTCACCTAAATTGCATAGCTTTAATTGACAGCATTCAAAAAGGCCCATGGTGTAATGCCTCATACGAATCATAAAGGACAACACTATAACTATGATTATCTATTCATGCAGTGAATTGG